GGACGCGGCGGCGTCCGAGGCGAGGCCGGAGCCTGGGCGCACACGCCGGGACGAGCCCGAGGAGGAGGAGGACGACGAGGACGACCTCAAGGCCGTGGCCACCTCCCTGGACGGCCGCTTCCTCAAGTTCGACATCGAACTGGGCCGCGGCTCGTTCAAGACGGTCTACAAGGGGCTGGACACGGAGACCTGGGTGGAGGTGGCCTGGTGCGAGCTGCAGGTGAGGGCGCTGCCCGCAGGTGGGGGGTGGGCGAGCGCGTCCCCGCGCGGCCCTCCTCCTGTGCGGGGCCGCGCGTCGGGCCATCGGGGGCAGCCGCGCGTGTCATTCTGTGCGTGCGCACCGCGTGTGCGGTCGAGGGCGGACCTCCCAGCGTGGGGGTCCACGCGGAGGAGTGGGCACTTGGAGGGCGCGTCCGTCTGCCTGTACCCGCCCAGGTGGTCTGTACGGGGAGCCGCGGTGTGGGGGCCCTGTGTTCCAGGCGCTCTGGAGTCTAAAGGTGTAGGTGCCCCAGCTGGGGATGCTTGAGGGGCTGCTTCTGAGCCGAGGTCTGTGCGAGGTGGGGCTGCCAGGCCTGGGTGCGTCAGGGGCCTCTTGGTTCCTGCAGGGCCCACTGCTTCACAAAATGGATGTGTGAGCGGTCTTAAAACCAAGTCGTACAAAATGCGGGTAGGATTTTTTTTTTTTTTAATGCAAAGGCCCTGGACGTGCGTTTTTCATAACCTTGCCCTCACGTTGGCTGTGTCAAGCCCCAGCCCTGTAAGATTATATAAAGGGTAACCCGAGCTGCCTGGGCCAGCCTTGGAAGCCAGGACCGTGCCTGTCAGAGCGGGTGTTTACGGGGCCCTCCCTCGTGGGGGGGTCAGCTGTCAGGCATGGGGCTGTCCTGTACGAGAGCTGGCTGCCCGGCTGTAAACCTACGCCAGCACCCTGTGAAGTTAGCAGGGCCTTCCAGGCCTGATGCAGGGCAGACCGCCACACTGCAGGCCGCCTGCCTTTTTGGCTCCGAATCGGGATTTGGTTGCTCTGTCTCTTGGGCCCCTGCAGTGTGGCTTGCATGTGTGCGAGCTCCCCGATTTGGTGGGTGTCGACCTGTCCTTGGCCTTTCTCCAGAGGCAAAGAGCTCCAGATGCCAGCTCTTCCTGCAGTCCCTCGGTTTTGCAGTGGCAATGTGGAGTTTTCTTGGCAGGGCTGGTGGCGTCCTGTGGAGTCCTTCAGGAGGGACTGAGTGCTCCTTCCTCATGGCTGTGGATGATTCTGGGCCCTGTGGAGGGGTGGCTTCGGTGGTTTGTGGTCTGGGGGCCCTGGCCAGTGATGGCGCTGCTGTGTGGGTCAGGGAGGACCGGGGAGGAGCAGAGGAGCCCAGGTTTAGAGCATGGCCCTGCGCCTTCCCTTCCCGCCTTCTCCCTCTCGCCAAGTGGCCCTGCGTGGCCCTGCGTGGTGCTGAGGGCACCTGCTGGTGCAGGGCGGTGGGCAGGAGCCGGGGAGCGGCAGCGGTATCTGAGGTAGGCCTCAGCAGCGACGAGGCTTTGCAGGCCCACGTGACCCTCGGAAGGGTTTCTAGTTCCCATACCCTGTAAGGCAAGGCGGGCGGCCCTGCTTCTGGGTCCTGAGCAGAGCACGGGCCTGGAGCCTGGCTGCCATCCAGGGGTCTTTTATGCCTGGACTCTGGGTGGTAGTAGGAAGGTTGGAGAAGGCTCGCCATCCGTCTGGTGGCCGTTCTTGAACAGGAGGTACTGGGAGCCCCCGTTGGCAGGAAACCGTCCTTGTATCTCTCTGAGTGACCGGGCATCTGACGTTTCCTCCAGGTCCATGGGCAGCATCTGGGGTCAGCTGCCTCTGCTGGGCTGTTCTGAGTTGGGATCTGGAGCGGCATGCTGCCTCCTCACCGACAAGGAGGCTGTTATTTACCCTGTTAATTGTTGAGGAACCCCAAGGTCACCATCGAGGACACAGAGAGTGGGAGGGTAAGGGGGGAGTGTAGCATCATGGGAGGAGGCGTCCAGCCCGGTGAGGCCGTCCTTAGTGGAGGAGGTGAGGGTTGGGTCTCTGGGACCCCTGTGCACCGAGAGAGGGCAACAGGTATGGCTTGTTGGCTCTGAGCCTGGGGAAGGGGTTTCCTCCTGCACAGTGTGGAGATTTCCATCCTCTGTCGGCCCCCAGGATGGCTGGGTGTCAGGGATCCCAGTGGAGGTCACTGGGAGTGTTGCCTTCAGCATGGGGAGCTTTGCAGGATTCTTCCCACCCTCTGACCCCCCCTTCCTCAGCCCCCAGGAGTGTCTTGGCTGGCAGCTTTGGAACACCCCAAAAGTCTGTTTCCTCCTCCTGCCCTCAGGATGCTGGGGGGCATCTGCACCTGCTGGCCTCTGCCGGACGGAGGAGGGCTCACCCACTCTTCTCCCAGGGTGCCCTGCCCGAGGGGTTTCCAAGGCTGCATCTCTAGACCGAATAGTCTGGCTTGCAGGACGAAAGATTCCTGTAACGTCCAATTTCCTTCCATAAATCTGTGTTGGAAGGGCTTTGCAGCAAGACACATCACCTCCCGAATTTTCTAGGTGGCCAAAGCTCACGCTCATTTTCTAGGGAAGCCATTTTAAAGTATCACTTCCTTGTCTGTCTTCTTTTGAATGAACTTTTGTCCAGGCACCAGAACGAGCTCTGATAGCAGGGGGAGTGCACGCCCCAGAGCTCCGTCGCACGTTTCCCTCGTCCCCGGGCTGTCCTTGGCTAGTGCCAGTCCTTCGTAGACTCTGGGCCCGTGTAGGGGCGGATCTTGACCACCGACACTGTCTGGGGTGTCTGAGGGCACCTTCTGGCCTACTGCCCCCTCCGAGCCGGTGTGGGTCCCCAGGAGACCTGGCTGGCATCTGGAAGCCGTGTCAGAGGCGGGCTGCTGGCCTTTCCTGGGTCACCTGCTCCTTCTGAGTCTTCCTCAGGATCCTGGACACAGTCTTGGTTTTCAGCGCCCTCCGGGGATGCTACCCCCTCCTGTCCATGGCCCCCTGCCTTCTGGGAAGATGGGGCCTCCCCGCAGAAGGGTTTGGGAGCTGCTCTTGCCGGACTGGGCACTGCCTCCTGCGGGGGGGGGGCGCCTGGGACTGTGTTTTCTGTGCTGGTGTTTAGGCCCACGTGCAGGGTGGGGGTCGTTTTGCCGCATGGGGGTGTTGCTCCTTGAGCCTCTGCTCAGAGCACTCGCAGGGCTCTTGTGGGGATGGGTGAGTCCTAAAGATGGGCTCGCAGACCCCGCAGGTGCTGTCGTGGAGTGGGCCTGCTGCTCTGCATTGCCCAGAGGTGACTGGGCTCCCGAGGGGCGGGCCAGGCCCTGCGCCCTGGGAGGCTCGTTGTGGGTGATGTGCGTGGCGCACCGGGGCCCTCGCTGTCCTCAGCCTAGTGGGGAC